TCCCTAGAGGTCTTTAATAACCTGAACCAAATTCCTAGCTCTGAACAGCATCTAACCTTGCAAAAGGCCAGATCTGGAGCCAGTCTTACCAATTCAGACCTCTCTCTTAATCCTGCCAACATTTGTACTTCATTCATTAAATAAATCTTGTTTCCTTTGTGTTAAATAGCTGTCCGTGATCGTATGGTACCACCACCACCACCGCCCCACCACCTGTATGCCAAAGCTAACACTTCATCTTCTATCTTCCTCCACTGGGGAAAACCTGCGTTCACGTCTGCGCAAGTTGTCAATTACACCATCCGTTGTAACCCCGTGGGGCTGCAGAATGCATCTCTAGTCCTCTACCTTCAAACGTATGTACAATTTGGCTAATTATTCTTAGTTCCTCATTCCCAAATGCCTTGCTTTCTTTTCTCTTTCCCATCTTCCTGCATCTTTTAATTACCACCTACTGGAACACCTTATCTCCACCTGTTGGGACAGTGCTGCTGCCTGTTCTAACTTGTAGGTTGTCAGGAGGTGCTGTTAGACTGCTTTAGCTCTTCTTCTTTGACGCTCAGGATTACCTCACTACATTCTGCCATCACAAAGGACAGGGCATCCAGTTCTAGCCCTGCTCTATGACAGGGCTGTCCAACTGGTAGCCTGGGTGCTACATGCAGCCAGTGAGAGGTTAATTTGGAGCCCCTTGGTTCCTTCAGGGCCGCTGCTCCCATTGCTCTGGCTGCTTCAGCAGCAACCAGGGTCTCCAGGCTTCCCCTCCCACCTCTGGCTTCCAATTCCCTCCCCTACCTCAGTGGGCAGGGTGGCACAGCATGCCCTGTGGTACTGGGGTAGTGTGTGGCTGTGGGTGCCTGTGCAGTGTGGTGTAGTGAGGGTGTCACAGCCAGAGAGATGAGTGGGGGCCTAGGTGTAGGGGGGGTCACCTATGTGGTGTGCGGCTCAGACATCCTATTGTTTACGCTGGTGTGGCCTGTGTGACATGCAGCCCTCACTGCTCAGTTCACAAGGCATGTAGCCTTCCAGCCACGTAGAAGTTGGGCAGCCCTGCTCTGTGGTATAGCCAGATCAATGGGATGAGTTTGTGCTTTTGAGCCATGTAAAGTTTAAGCTGTTCTCCATCTGAAGAGAGAGACTTGGAAGACCATAAAGGAGTGAAAGGGATGTTTCATTCATAGATGAACTGGGTGAGGATAATACATGGTCTTTTTATCTGATCACAGGATTGGAAGCCAGGGTTCCTTAGATTTAAGGCCTGATTCTGCTATTCTGTGGATTTTAGAGCATCTCTAAGTGCACAGAGGTATTGTAGCATTATGTTAAGCAACCTGTACAGCAGAGTGGGAATTAGAGCCAGTTGTGTGGCAGGAGTTGTCTTCTGTGAGGACAGTCCACACATCACTGAGAAGTGCCGAGGGAGGGGATTCTCTCTAAACGTTACCTCTCCAACTCGATGGGGTGGGGACGCTGTGTACTAGCTGGCCTTCAGACATGTTCCTATCGTGGCAGGGTTGAACTGATAAGCATCAGTCATTGGCACACTTGGTGACCCCAGAGGTTCATCTGGATGAGCTAATCAACCATGTTTTCACTTACATGGGTTTTTTATTCATCTTTATAGGTCAGAAACTCACATGCTGGTACAAGGTCTAGAGCCAAAAACAATGTATGAGTTTGCAGTTCGATTGCATGTGGATCAGCTGTCTAGTCCCTGGAGTCCTGTAGTTTACCATACCACACTTCCAGAAGGTAAGAACATTAGGAAAGAGTCAGTTCTGATGCTGTTTTAAAAATAGTTTTCATGTTTGTTGCCCTCTATTATTATTATTATTATTATTATTATTATTACTACTACTACTACTACTATTTTCTTAAGTGGTGTGTGGAATTTTGTTTTCAATACTTTCCCAAGTTATTTTGATATTTGTTTCTCTTTAGTGAGGAAGTACAGAAAAGCAGTGAGAAGGATAAGCCACATACCTTTAGAGCTGTGAAACTGCATATACATTTTGACAGAGAAGCTGTAGCTAATAGTGCACAAAACAAAACTTGCTTCCTCTGCAAATGACATTTAAATTATAACACCATTAATAAGAACTTAAAAATAGCATGCTAAAGGGACACTGTCATTTTTAACCCATATATAAAAAAAATCTTTTTCTGTGTACCCAAAACTTAAATTTATAAAAACTGCAGAGATGTTAAAAATCCAGTTTCTTTTTTATTGCTTTAGCAGCTTATTTCTCAATTCACATTTCTGGCAGCTTGGGCTATGAACATCTATAATGAATTCAGTTTCATGTCCTAAGTGTTGCAGTCGGGGATGCTCATATTAATGGGAATTGCTGATCTGTTTATAAATAACAGTTTACATTGGACTTGAAACAAAAATCATGATTTTAGTAATTTGATTTCAGTGATCCAAATATGATTCCATAAAATGGTAAACTCAAATTGGAGTTGAAAAGAAAGTATCTTTTGAGGACAGCAGTGTGTGTTTTCCCAGCTGTTTACTTGGGAGTTAACTGTAGCCATTAAGAGTGACATTAGGATTTGCAAATTTTTTTTGTAAAATAGCTCAGTGTATGTGAATTAATAACCATAATAATAGTGTTCCTGTTCTTGCAGCTCCATCTGGCCCTCCAGTTGGAGTGAAGGTGACTTTGATAGAAGATGATACTGCTTTGGTTTCCTGGAAGCCCCCTGATGGTCCTGAAACTGTTGTTACTCGCTATACTATCCTCTATGCATCCAGAAAGGCTTGGATTGCTGGAGAATGGCAAGTGCTACACAAAGAAGGTAAACTGTAACTATTAGTTCTAGGGTTGGAAAAGCAATGATAACCGTTCAACAGAAGTAGAAATAACAAAACATCCTATATGAGGAGGGACCTACTGAATTCACAGTGGAAGTGGGCTGGGTGGCAGCTCCTTTAATTTTGCAGGTTTCTCTGTGCACCTCCCCACTGCCGATTTGGCAGAGGGGCCCTGCCACTCACTCCTGATCAGAAGGGAGGCAGAAACCATGATTTTTAAAATGGTGCTGTTTTTGCCTCCCAGCCAGTCAGCAACAATCAACAAGGCCACCAGGGCCCCTCAGCCAATCAGCAGCAGGGAAGGGGGAGTAGGGGAACCTGCAAGATTAAAGGAGTTGCTGTGCAGCCCACTTCTATTGTGAATCCCTGTGTATGAGCAAGAAAAACAAAGTGCTACGGATGTTCATGGGAATACCTTGATAGTTCTGCTGTGATATTTGGATGAGAATCATTTGCTGCTTTGTGGTGGGTAAACACTTAAAACTGGTAAAGAGGAGCTCTCTACTGCTTCACAGCTCAGCTGGTTCAAATAAATTGAAACGCTCCATAAATCCAGTGACACCTGATTTAATTTTAGTTCCACTGTAGCGATGGTAGTGGAGTTTGTTTTTCAGGGTAGTCCTGCAGGTCTCCTGAATACTGTATTGCTCATAAAAGTGCTTTTATGAATATGGCATGGCAGGTCCTTTGTTTGTCTTTCATTGACTATAGATCTAATTTGTCCAGGTTTTATTTATAAACACTGTAAGCTGTTTTTCCCCTCTGTGAGCTTAGTGTGCCATCCAAACATCAAGTTTTCTGGTTTTTCATGTTGCCCCTCTCTACCATTGGAACCTCAAATAACTGGTATATAGCTAGTCCTTGGTGCCTCCTGAGCCTGGTGGGGCACCCACAGAAGCCAGTGTTGGGGACAGGGCTGGCAAGCACTCGCATAAGCCACCGCTGGTGGGGGTGGCACTGTCAGGGGGACACATGCCCGCCCCCGCCCCTCAACACACACCCTCCTCACCAATCACCTATGACCAGAAGTTTTCTTGTTCCCCCTCAAGAAACTTGGAAAAAATAGTCCTCTTGTAAATGGTTGTCACATCTCATTGTCCTCACTGATTGTAAAGCCAAGTTTACCTCAATGATGATGGATGCTTCTTCAGGAGACGGACACAGCCCTGTTGAGAATATGGGGAGATGAGAGCCATTTATAAAAATGGCTTGTCTTCATGGAAACCTCAGTAGTGGAATATTATTTGTCTGTTGCTAGTTAAAGTATAAATAAAGTAGACTTGTGATACAAATTTGAGGGGAATACAGAGGGAAGGTTGGGAAGTTCTTTGGCAGGAAATTTGTAATAGTAAGATTTTTTTTTTCAATATGTTAATTTTGTTGAGAAGAGCTAGTCAAAGGTAAGGCCTGTCACTAATTTACTTCCATGCTAGCCTTAGGTGGAAGATTCCCAGATGTTAAAAAGATTAAGTTCTTCCTCAGGCTTCACAGATATATATTAAGTGATTCTGAGGATATTTAGCCATTCTGTCACATTGAAGAAAACCTTTATTTTTACTGATCTGGGGCCAACAAGAGCAGAGTTTGAAAGACCACTATAATTTGTTGCTGATTTGCAGTGTGAAGTATCTTCCTTTTCCCCCTTCCCGTTTCCAAGCTCTCTTTAAGTGGATCAAAAGTTGCAGCCTTAACATGCTTGTGCTGTAAATCAGCACAAACAGCTTAGTTATTTTACCGATAAAATTGATTTGAAAGAAGCTGGTGGGAAAGAAGCTCTAATGCAAGCTGACCTTTTGTTGCCCTTACTTGTGCTAAATGTTACAGTTCCTTTGGTTCCAGATAACTCACATTTTACTTCAGATGACTTTAGCTAACAGATGTTTATGGAGTTTTGTTTATATATGGAAGAGCTGAAGTAACTTTTGATGTATTTTCCTTTTTTTCCAACTGTATTATCTTTCCTTACACAAAATGACCTTGTATTTCATACATTCCCATCATACTATAAATGGTGACCTCTGAAACTGATTTGAATGGTTTGGATTGACTTCTTGGAAGTTGAAGAATAGGGATAGATCAATCATAAAGTAGTCATCATTTTGGAAAGAAAAATAATGTACATACACTGGCACAGAGAAGAATTAGCTTTTAAAAGGTAATTGGAACTTTAAGCAACCATTCAGTTCTTATGCAGGCAAAATTCTCCTCAGTTTTAATGGGGGCTCTGCCAGTAAAAGGACTGCAATCCTATTTATAGTTTAATCTGTTCTTTGCCTGCATGTGAGAGATATTCCCTGTAATATTTTTCTTAGGTGCCTTGTTTAAATACCCTGTAATTACCATATTTAGCCAAATCCAAGACTACTTCAAATTTAAGATGACCCTCCCAATATTTATGTAATTCCATGTATGGAATTCCATTCATGTAAATCCATGTATATCAGAGAGTTGTCTTAAATTCATGCCTCCCAACTCTGCATTGGGAGAGCAATGGCAGGGGGGGCAAGTATTGAGGAAAGCAGCAGCTGGGAGGCAGGTACTTGTATGCTATTAATTGCTAATGAGAATATGAATGCTGTGCTCTCTTTTCCAAACAAGATTCAAAGGAGCTAAATCTCTTCTTATATCTAGATTTCAGTAAGTTTCTACATTATTTGCCTAACTGATATTTATTTTTAATAAAATCTTTTAATAGGAGCAATAACTATGGCTTTGCTGGAGAATCTTGTGGCTGGTAATGTCTACCTTGTTAAAATAGCAGCATCCAATGAGGTGGGAGAAGGACCTTTTTCGAATGCAGTGGAACTTGCTGTCCTGCCAAAGGAGACATCAGAGTCCAATCAGAGACCTAAACGTTTAGATTCGGCAGATGCCACAGGTCAGTAATAGTGTTTATCTAATACTAGCCAATTGCCCATCAGAAATGATGGGGGGGGGGTGCAGCAGGAACAGAACGCTGCCACCCACCACCCTGTGCCGCTGCCGTCTCCCAGAACAAGGTCGGGGAACCTTGCCTTGCTGTCTCCTCTGTCCCCTCAGCCAGTACTCCGTGCCACTGGCGGGGGGTGAGGGGGGTGGGACATGAGGTCAGTGCTGCTGGCTTCACCCCCCCCTGGTCCCTGCTGTCATGGTGGTGTGCGCTACCTCCTGTCCGGAATGCTGTTGGAGCACTCTGATTGGTTGTTTCAGACATCCAAGAGTGCAAATAAAGCACTATGGACAGACAGACTAAGGCTTTAATAATATTAGAATATTAAAAGCTACCAAAGAAAAGACCTGCGACTGGTGTCATCCAGTGACTGTTTCCTGGACCAGCTCAGGCTTTTGGTGTGAGGCAGCCTTTCCACTTAGAGAACCTTTGGAATTTTGTGCCCCAGTCCATACAGTTTCTGGTTTCAGTTTTTCTCAGTTCAAAGACAATGTAGAGTTGAAATTATCCTTGTCCTGAATGCCATTTGCTTAATTATCAGCATATTTACTTGTACTTTGCTAGTCAGGGATGACTTTTATTTAACATGAGACGTTAATGTCATGGAGTCCATTAGGATAAGAGACTATCTCGGAAACAAGATGGCTTCCCAAGCAGCTGCGTGGAAATGGAATCTGGTTCTCAGTTCTTTGGACCTATGAGTCATTGCTTACCTTCATTTGTCTTTGCCTAGGATGGCATTCCTCTTACGGTTCTCCCACTGGAAACCTGCCTAGATGCGTTACAGCTGAAGATTGTTTCAGTAACTTCTCAATACAGGAACAGAGCTACAAAGTTGCCCTCTTCTGTCACTGAGTAGACATTTACCTGGATGAGTTAATCTACATTTAGTAGATTATTCTAAAACTATTAAAATGAAAAAGCTGGTAATTTTTCAGAGATGTCTGTGTGTGCTAACCTTTTTGATATTTTGCCTTTAGTGAGCCAGAAAATAGAGGATCTCAATCAATTCTCTCCTGCCCCTGAAAGTCGGTGACAGTTTTCCCAGAGAAAACACTGAATAAAAATCGTTAGGGCCTTAGGACTTAGTCTAATATGCGTATGATAACCAAATGAAAAACAAGTTAATGAAACCACCAAAGTTAAAAAGCTCGAATTTCATAAGCCTAATATTCAAAGTGTTTGTTCCAACAGAAATGTAAAAATGTATAATAGCAAAGATCTGCAAAAGAGTGTTTAAAGGAAAAATGTCAATATTACTGTGGCTGTAACTGCATTTATTCTCAGGAATACATAAGGGGTGACTCTAAGTCTAAGTGCCGTGTGACTCTTTTTATAATGCAGCTTATTCTGGCTATTATCACTTGGACCAGAAATCAATGACTGGCATTGTTGTTGGAGTGTGTATAGCCCTGACCTGTATTCTTATCTGCATCCTGATTTTGATTTACCGCAGTAAAGCCAGGTAAGTTTTCATTGTGGAAGATGTAAGTACTTTCTAAAAGTACTGCTCCTTTGTGAAACCAGGCAGTCAGAGACCTCTCATTCCATCTGAGAGTGTACTCTCCTACCACAAAGTGTTCAGCCTCACTTTACACGGTCGTACCATTGATGAGTATCATTCCAGGTGCCATGTTTCTGTCCCCGTCCTTTACCTAGCTCCTTTCTGTAATGGAGGGGGTAGGAGGCACAGAGAGGAGTTAATGCTGCTTGAAGAGTTAGTAATCTAGTTAGTAATCATATTTTCAAATGGAAATCCCCATGATTCAGAGATGTCTCTGCAATATTTTTCAGCAGCTCCCCCTGATCTACATTGTAGCCTGCCCAGTCCCAGTCAACAGAGACTCAACCCCACAGTATTCCTGGGGAGGAGCTCCTGCAAACTCGGGTTATAAAGAACTCAGAAGTGGACTTCAGTTATATTTGCTTCAGTTGCTTTGCACAACGGTCACAAGCTGGCAGAGGGTAGATTCGGACTAGACATCAGGAGGCACGACTTCACAGGGTGGCTAGGACCTGGAACCAACTTCCAAGCGAAGTGGTGCTGGCTCCTACCCTGGGGGTCTTTAAGAAGAGGTTAGATGAACACCTTGCTGGGGTCGTTTGACCCCAGTACTTTTTCCTGCCATGGCAGGGGGTTGGACTTGATGATCTGCTCAGGTCCCTTCCGGCCCTACCAACTATGAAACTATGCGCGGGTGGAGGTCACTCTCCAGCCCATATCATTAACTGCTGTGTGAATTAGGCCCGCAAGTTTGGAGCTTGGGGATTTTTAAGTTACTCTGCTTTTTTATGAAGTGTTCCAGTTGAGCATAAATGATCTCATGCTTTTCTCACAGTAGAGCCAGACTGCAGTGAGAGAGTAGTTAAGGTGCCTCACTACAGTTCTAGAGATGCAAGTTTGAGTATGATTCCAAACTGACATCAAAGACTCCCTCTAGGCACCCCAACTGTAAGTAGGTACCTAATGATTTGTGCTGGAGTGTCAAAGGCAGTCAGATATAATACTAACTGCGTCACTTCTTTCTGTGCAATTGGCTATAGACACTGATGCACTTTAATCATGCTGCTCCAATGGGCTGTTTGGCCCAGGAGACCCTTAGACTATTTTTTATCCCACAGTTTAGGAGAGGGTTGTTTTTAGCCATACTTGGGTACCAGAACAGCCTTGTTCTCTTAACTGTTTATTCTTCCTAGATAATGTTATTAATCATAGGAAATGTTCTTTCATTATAAACTCAGAGCCTGCACATTGTGGTTTACTAGGGGAATATGGTGTTATTGTAAATTGATCTTATGTATTTCTTCCATGGGCCAATTATATTCCTGATTAATATTGCACAGGAAAACATCTGCTCCTAAACCTGTGCAGCAAGGTAGTGACCAGCTATCACATACCAGCATCTTGTTAGCCAGTGCTAATGAGGCAGGGAAGAGTATTGAAGGAATTGCAGAGAATGAAGAATCCTTACTGCCAATGATAGTGGGGAACAACTTCCTTGATGCTAAGGTAATGTGAGCCTCATTTTGCTTCTAAGGTAGAAATATTACTATGGAAACAATTGACAGACTTTGTGACCTTCTTCCTTCATTGAAATATGTTCATCAATAGCAATAATCAGCATTCAGAAGTGGGACAACCTCAACTATTGCAATGCAATGGCATTGCTAAACTGCGTAAAGTCTGCCTGAATACGTATGCTGTGTGCTAAAGAGTGCCAGGTTCTGACTTTAGCAATATGTGAGGGTGAGAGTCTATAGCTCAAAATGCCCTGTCCCTTTAGGGACACATCCAGATGAACATGGACATTTGTTTCATATGCAGCACCGCACATTATGGTGCGGTGCTGCATACCACATGTCTGTGCTTGTCTGGTTGCAGCCTAGGTGTCTCATGAGTTCTATTGTAGACATCCAGTGACAGGGAGAGAGAGGGTTTGTAAACAAATCTTAAGTCCCACTAAGTTCAATACCCTAACCAGCATTACTTATATAGCTGTTAAGTTATGGACAGATGAACAAATTATAGCAGGTTAAAAGGGTAGGTTGAACTTGCCACATATCAGCTGCTCTGATGTTTCTGTTTATGATGTAGAGCTTGGATGGAGGAATTCCAGGTATCAAAGGCACAGGGAAAGCAATTGTGCTTGGGCATTTTGTGCATATTAGACCACAGAAAGCAAATGAGTGGACAGACTTAATTCAGTCCCTTTGTCATTCCTGAGCTGCTAATGGGAATAAACAGGATGTGTGACCAGTGAGCTGTACTTTTTTTTTAAAAACCTCTTACCAGTATGGTTTAATAAAACAATATACTCTGTCTCTGTTTTAGGGGGGGACCGATCTGATTATTAACAGTTATGGCCCTGTCACAAAGACCAGCTACAAGAAAAGGTGGCTATTCTTCCAAGATTCAAAGAAGGTGAAGGCGGAGGAGGTAACCTACCCAAATGAGTGTGAACAGGCAAGCCCTAGGATAATGTTATATTGTTACCAGAAAGGAGGGTTAGACTTGTAGTTATTTAAACACATTAGGTATAGGTTAGCTTTCATAAGAATGATTTCTAAACCTTCGTGATGATGGTATTCTATCTTCTTATAAATTCAAGTGGAGAATTTATTTTTTATTTCCTCTCCTAAACTGCTGTGCAATGTTGCTCTATACAGTTAAGCAGTTGTTCTGCTTAAGCTAAAATTGGTTGCACTTTGTGAACGAGTAAAAGATTTTCTACATTGTAGCTGCAAAGTGCTCGATAGATGAAATTAAATAATCCTCTCGCTATCCTGAAAATGGTTGGTAAATAAGTAGTAATATCTCTATGTGTACAGGAGGAAATTACTGTAGTTACTTGAATCTAAGTAGACCCTGATTTATACATTTGTTAAAATTTCCCAGGTATAGAATCTAATTATTGGAGGGTTATCTTAAATTCATCCTCCCCACTGCTACAGCAGGGAAAATAGTGGCTGGGAGGATCAGGTGGCTGCCGAGGGTGGGGGCTCAGGGGACCCCTTGCCCTCTGCATCCCCCACTTCTTCCCCCTGCAGCCTTCCTGCCCTTATCCCTCTGCCACTAGCACCCCCCTCACCCTCACTTCCCCACAGCCTCTGTTTGCTCCCCTCTCCCTACTTGCCATTCTCTGCCTCTTGCACCCTTCCCCTTACTGTTAGACCAGGGATAGGCAAATACGGCCCACAGGCCAGATCTGGCTCACCAAAGGATTTTGTCCAGCCCAGAACAGGTCCCTTGATCCAGGTGTGGGGGGCAGCTAGAGCCATGGTGCATGTGGCTGGTCCTACCACCCCCCAGTGTGCAGCTGGGTTGGGGCATTGTGGCAGCCAGACTCACTTCCTGGCAGCCCCCGCAGAGGCGGTTCCTTCCAGCTGACATTGCCAGTCTCCACTGCTGCTGCCGGCCCTAGCCCCACTGCCCAGGCACCCCGGCCTGTCTGCCCCTCACCCACTGTCTGGGACACTGGACAGAGCAGGTGGGTGGGGTCTCCATGGAGACTGGCCCGGGAACTGCACGAAAAGGGTGTGCTCAGCTAAGTGGATGGGATGAGGCCAGGGGAAGTCGGGGAGCAGCGTCAGGGAGCAGGGTGGGACTGGGGCTGGGACTAGGACGGTGCCAGCACAGGGCTGGGGCGCAGGGCAGAGCCATGATCCTCTGCCTGCACATCCCTTTGACAAGTGCCAGTTTCACGGGCAGGGTTGTGCTGTAAGTGGATCGCAGCTCTGCCTCAAGCCCTGGCCCCTGCACTATCACAGCCCCGCGATCCTGATGCCAGCCCCAGCCCTGCCCACCTGTCCCGCTCATGGATGCTGCTCCCCACCTGCTTGCAACCCCATCCCATCCACCCAGTCAGGTGCCCCACCTGTGCACGTCCTGGCCAGTCTCCGTGGAGACAACGCGGGGCCAGTGCTAGGGCCCGGGACAACCAAATCTGCTACCTGTGTGCCCCTGCAATGGGCACCAGTTCCTTGGGCAGGGGCATGCAGGTAGCAGATCTTGGCTCTGCCCTGGGCCCCAGCACTGATTGGCTGGGCAGGGGACAGTTTCCATGTGCTCCATGCCAGGAAGGGAACCCAATTGAAGCTGACCTGAAAGGAAGTGTGGGGGTTGAACAAAAGCTGCAGAGGAGAAATGGAGCAGGGGCAAGAGGCTGCTCAGGGCCAGAGTCAGAGCTGCAGCAGCCGCCTGCCCCCTCCTCCATTTTGTACGTGCATCTGAGATGAGGGGCTTTTCTCCTTATGCTGATTGGGGGGAAAAATCTCATCTTGTATTCAGGTAAATACCATAGAATTAGAGCTAGGACTGGAAGTCAGGAATGAATAGCTCCTCTGATGGTGCTCTGACTATACTTCTTGGGATAAAACAGAGTGTAAAATAGTCAAGTCACTAGACCAAAGCCCCAGCTAATGTAAATCCACGTAGCCATGCCAGTTTATACTTGAGGATTTGTGCCAGCCAGACTCACTTCCTGGCAGCCCCCGCAGAGGCGGTTCCTTCCAGCTGACATTGCCAGTCTCCACTGCTGCTGCCGGCCCTAGCCCCACTGCCCAGGCACCCCGGCCTGTCTGCCCCTCACCCACTGTCTGGGACACTGGACAGAGCAGGTGGGTGGGGTCTCCATGGAGACTGGCCCGGGAACTGCACGAAAAGGGTGTGCTCAGCTAAGTGGATGGGATGAGGCCAGGGGAAGTCGGGGAGCAGCGTCAGGGAGCAGGGTGGGACTGGGGCTGGGACTAGGACGGTGCCAGCACAGGGCTGGGGCGCAGGGCAGAGCCATGATCCTCTGCCTGCACATCCCTTTGACAAGTGCCAGTTTCACGGGCAGGGTTGTGCTGTAAGTGGATCGCAGCTCTGCCTCAAGCCCTGGCCCCTGCACTATCACAGCCCCGCGATCCTGATGCCAGCCCCAGCCCTGCCCACCTGTCCCGCTCATGGATGCTGCTCCCCACCTGCTTGCAACCCCATCCCATCCACCCAGTCAGGTGCCCCACCTGTGCACGTCCTGGCCAGTCTCCGTGGAGACAACGCGGGGCCAGTGCTAGGGCCCGGGACAACCAAATCTGCTACCTGTGTGCCCCTGCAATGGGCACCAGTTCCTTGGGCAGGGGCATGCAGGTAGCAGATCTTGGCTCTGCCCTGGGCCCCAGCACTGATTGGCTGGGCAGGGGACAGTTTCCATGTGCTCCATGCCAGGAAGGGAACCCAATTGAAGCTGACCTGAAAGGAAGTGTGGGGGTTGAACAAAAGCTGCAGAGGAGAAATGGAGCAGGGGCAAGAGGCTGCTCAGGGCCAGAGTCAGAGCTGCAGCAGCCGCCTGCCCCCTCCTCCATTTTGTACGTGCATCTGAGATGAGGGGCTTTTCTCCTTATGCTGATTGGGGGGAAAAATCTCATCTTGTATTCAGGTAAATACCATAGAATTAGAGCTAGGACTGGAAGTCAGGAATGAATAGCTCCTCTGATGGTGCTCTGACTATACTTCTTGGGATAAAACAGAGTGTAAAATAGTCAAGTCACTAGACCAAAGCCCCAGCTAATGTAAATCCACGTAGCCATGCCAGTTTATACTTGAGGATCTGGCTCATTATGCTTATTGAATCGTGACTTGCATATTCTTTCATAGTCAAGAAATATGGGATTCTCCATAAATTCATGTTCTTATACCTACCCTTCAAGCTAAAGCTTGTCCAAAGTTGGGAAGCATATTGCTATTGCATCTTTGAGCAAAATATTTACTGCCACCCTGTGAATGTTACATGAAAGAGGATCTGGGTGGGGGGGATACACAAATGTAATTTATAAAAATCAGACAGGATCCTCAATGAAAATCAGCCTCAGTTATGTGTGGTTAGCTAGAAGGGACTATTTCACCTCGTACTGGAAAGGAAACATTAGAGAGACTTGAGATTGTACCATTTCATCCTCCCCTTTAGAAGGTATTTGCAGGTTATTGTTCCCTGCTAGTGCTGTTATAGATACTTCAGCCAAATGGGGCAAGGAATTCAACAAAAAGTTCTTCATTGTCTCTGTGTAACCAAAGTTGAGTGACCACTTTCTCCCCTTGTTTTTATCCAGCCTCAAAGAAGATTTGTCCAAGCTGTGTGCTTATATCAGCCAGGCACTACTGTGCTCCTCAGTGAAGATGACTCCCCCAATTCCCCAGGCCAGCAATCTAATTTCCAGGTGCCATTCAGTATTGTAGCTGATACAGAGCATTCAGCAAACAGCGAAGGAAGCCATGAGACAGGAGACTCTGGAAGATTCTCACATGAGTCCAACGATGAAATACATCTTTCTTCAGTTATAAGTACCACCCCACCCACGTCTGGTTCTTTTGTAGGCAGTGACTCAGGTGTGAATGTGAACCCTGTCTTGAGTAACTGCAGAGAGCCTCCTGTGCCATTAGCTACTGATCACAGTCCTACCTCATCTCTTCAGAAACAGTCCACGGCACAAAATTGACATACCCATCCTGATAGAAATGCCAGACATCCTTGCTGTGTATGTCTGTTCGAAGGACAATGAACAGGGAGCCAAAGTTTATTGTGGGAAGCCTGACAACCCATCAGGTGATCCCATATTTCTGGTGAATGTGTTTTGGTTTTGTTTGTATTTTTTTTAAACTCACTCATTTTGAATGTTCAATGGGTAACAATGTGAAAGGACAGTGAAGATTTCTGACCAGAGTAAAAAAATTATCACTGGAGCAAAGGGAAGGCTGTTGGCCCCTTTGCTGACTATCTACCTCAGTTTGCCAAGTGGTGAACTCTGAACAACTGCTTTACCTCATTTTTGTTTATAGTTGGTTTCAGCTACATAACAGATGATACTTCCTAGTAGTTTTTTTTTTTCTTTTTTGGCTGTGTGTGTGTGTTTTTGTGTGCGTGTGCATGAGTGATCAAAGGAGTTGTATAGGTAGATGAACAACTGTTTAGCTGAAGCTCTGACTTTAAAAAGAGGGAACCCTGGGAGGATAAAATATGAATCAACTCCATGGACCTAAGATTTAAATGAGGAAAATAATAGGACTGTTATGCATCAGTATGGGATTAATGGAGTATATTCTTTAAAAGATACAGTAGATACCCATAACAAGTTTTTAAAAAGTAACTGGACATGCCTTTTGGGCCTTTTGATTGTTATAGCCACAAAAGCCCCAGTCTGCCTAGGACAGTGCCTTTTCCATACAATCTTGTTCCAGCCATTGCTTTCAGGATGTATACTACATTCATAGGGCCCTAGGATATGCTGGGTTCCCTACAAAATTATAACATTGCCCCTTTATTGGAGATTAAATGCTAGAAAGCTTAGTGAAATGAATTAGAATTCAGCTTTCCAGTCAGCTTGGAACAAAGTGAAAAATGTCTAAAAGAATACACACAATAGACAGTAATGCTAAATATTCCAGTACCCTAGTACTTCATAGCAACGGTGCCTTTCATTATATATTATAAAATTACTGCTTTGCCTTATGCCTTCTTAATATTCATAAAGTTGCTTCGGAGTACAAAAAGTTGCCTTAAATGCTGCTTAGAACTTATGGATAAATTGTATTGTCAGGTTAGCATCCATAGTTCATTTTTACCTAGTGTTTGAGTGCCAATAAGTGTTTGTAGCACTGCAGCATGTCTCAGAGCCGTTGTTAAAATGCAGTCCTATTTGTTGCCTCGTCTAGGATGCTATCAGTGAAAAAAATTAGCTCAGGGAGTGACTTTACCCACATGCCAATCTAAAATTCTTAATTGGGTCTTAGTAGGTGCAACTACATGTTCATTAATGCGCAGTAGTTACTGTGCATTTAGTTTAGTACTTGCTTAATGAAGTACCAACTAAATAAGCAGTAGCTACAGTTACTGTGCAGTCGCGCCGGTGTGCACAGGTTTTTTGTGACGCTTACTGCACAGTAGCATATTAGCGCGGTTTTTGACCGGCACACTACCGCGCAGTGTTATAAGGCTACTGTACAATAAACATCTCATGTAGATGCGCCCAGTGACAGTGAAAAAGCCAGAGCTTTAGCTGAAGAGTTTGTGAAAGGGTGAATGTTGCTACTGCCTTGTACCCATACAATTCCTGTTTTATACTACCTCCTTTTAAAGTTATTCTAGTGTTATTTTTTTTCCTGTACTCAGGGAACAGTTTGTTACTTTTGAGCTGCCTCTCAGAAGTGTGGGGCAAACTGACAGGGTATCATGTTTTTTGTTTTTAATAGGAGAGAGAGAGAGGCCGAATTCATCTAGTGTTATAAAGTAGTTCATGTATAGGTTTCTCTCCCTGCCCCCATTCGTTTAAATGGAAAAGAGAAAGGAAAAGAAAAGAAAATTCGGCATTTGTTTTTAGTTTTCAAAATTTGAAAAATGTAAAGTTGTGAAATACATCTCGAGTCAAAACCTGGCTCCATTTAAGTTCATATCAAAGTCCCATCCACGTCAGTGGGGCCAAGATTTCAACTTAGATGTGGTCTAAATGACTTTTAGGTGGTTACTTTGGGTCAAAAGTCATCTATAAGCCCTAGTCTCACCTGCTTTTATTTTCATGAATCGGCCTGTAGTTACTGTAGATCTTTAGCTTATAACTGTTTGCTAGTTCTGTACCAGACAGTGTGTGTTCACCTTTTCATAATATTGTTGATTCAAAGGCTTTAAAATAATAATCTTGTACCAAAGAATTTTCTGTAGGAAAAAGAAAGCTGCATATTTTCCAAAAGAAAGTAATAATAATTGAACTAGTTGAAAACTATAGGTTTGAAGAGCTGAATACATTTTATTGTATAAGTAGTTACTAATCAAAAACAATAGGGCTTCTATTGATTGTAGTAGTTGATTACATAGATTAGCGGTATGCTTCTACAATTGTTAACTACCTTATTGTTACAAAAGTCTTTAAAGAAAATTGTAATAACGTCTTACCAGCAGATATCTCCAAAGATTTCCACGTGTAAATTTTTTCTTTTCTTCAGCATGTAGTTCTTCAACATTACAGTATTAGATAAAATATTTTTGAACAGTTTTTATCTACTTGCTGAAGGAAAAAAAACCTTCTCACCAAAGATTTATTTTTGGTCGCATCAGGCAAATAGTTTAATGTACAGCAAAATACTGTTCCTAGTTAGAGTAAAGTATGAATTCACCGAAACTAGGTAAGAATGTGTAACCATAGTATGAAGTTTCATACTTCATCGTTCAGATTAGTTTCATTTCTTAGTGTTTCACTCAAAAAGGGCTGATATGCAAAGGGTAACTATTTTCTTCTCCAAAGATTTGTTTGCTGTAAGTACTGATACACTGATATAAGTTTTTATGCCTACAAATGAGCATGCTATTCCTCAACTACTTCTGCCAAAGACCTGCTACAGAAGTTAACTTATGGCTAATTAGAGGGGTAGATTTTTCTATTCTATTTGTCTGTCTGCTAGAGAGATGAAAAAACTTACTTAAAACAGTACATCCATAATGCTGTTTATCAAAGTACTTTTTATCAGCAAATGAAGAAAACCAAAGATATTTAAGGTTACCTCAGCATATAAGCAAACTTAGTTAGGTATTAAATTGTTCCATTTCATTTGCTTTGTCTTTGTTAACCAAATATAATGTGCATCTCCAGAACCCAGTTCACACTCATCTACTCGCCTTTATCATAACTACTCCACAGCCATTTACTGTGTTACTGTGGGGGAAAAAATGATCCTAACAAAGATCTATGGCTTAATTTAAGCTTCATCTCAAAAGTAAAATTCTGTTGAGAACTACTTTTCTTATGATTCAGAAGAAGCCCAGTGTGGGCAAAGTAATTTCTACGCAAACTGTATATGCATCAGAACTGTTCGCATTAAAATCAATAGCAGAACTGCCATTTAGCCCACTGGGTGCAGAACCAAGTGCAAAGGGCAAATGTTCTCTTATCCTTCAGGTTAAAGTGTCTAATAAAGGTGCGATATTATTGATTCAGGCCATTATTTTGACAGCTGAGGGTATGAACTTTTAAAGAAATTTCAGTTTTTGTATGCAAGCTTTATCCTTACCATTTGCCATAGAAATACCCAATGAAACTTCATGGGCAGAACAATCACAGGTTACCCAGCATTTTTTCTTGGTTGTGTCCTGGGTACTGGAGATAAGAAAACACTATCCATTTTCTAATTATGAATTTTACTGAATATGTTTCGGAAGAGGAACAAAAATAAGGAATTTCGTTTATACCATATGAATTAATTTTGTTAAATTTATTAAGAACTAAAGCACCACGGCTGATGTAATGACTGTATGTGTAATCCCCATACTTTTTTTTTTTAAAGACAAAAACAGTTGATGTGACTTGAAAAGGTTAAGCATACAAATGTTCAGGAGAAGATCCAGAAGTTGATTGCTGAGTTTACTAAATTTCCAAGTTAGCGCTCACATTGCCCTTCCAGCAGCAATGCTGATGTCTACGTTCTGGAAATAAATCCAAAGCCCTAGCTGCTGGTTTGATTCCTCTCCCCACCCCACCCCCGGTCCATTTCATGAGCTCTGTGTGTTTTTCAATGTCCTAGCATGGTCTAAGTTGAGTGGTAAATGCTTTCCGCTTGCACTTCAACTGAACTTCTTTTTTATAGATCTGTTTTTGTTAACATATGTAACTGACAACATTTACTGACCTTTTGCTCCCTAAACTTAGGGGATTGCAACAATAAGAAAGTATTATGAGGTTTCCTCACCTATTTATATTATATGTGACACTCCTGGCTTGTTCTGTGGTTTTATCCCATTGCTTCTTGTTTGCCTCACTCAGATAGGTGCTCATCCTGCTTGCACTGACGTCAGTGGCAGGATCCCCATTCATTTCATGGGTGCAGGGTCAAGCCAATACATAGCCTCATTAATTTCAGGAGGTTTATATGTATGAACCAAACAAACAGACTTGCATCTTAAAACTGTATTTCAGCATCTCTGAAGTACTGCTACTTCATAGGGCAATCCTTATTCAGGCAAAATGCCAGTGAAATATGAGTAAGAGCTGCCAGTTCATGCTCACTGCATTTGTTACAAAGAGAAATTGTGGCAGCAGAATTAATTCCCTTTGACATTTGTAGGAGTGATGTGCAAGAATCAAGGGCACTATAAGACTTTTCTAGACCTCCTGAAAATAACAGACAGAACTTAGTTGCACCTGTGTGCATGGGTGTAATTTCACTAAGGCCAGTGAAGTCACTCTGGATATGCTGTGTTGCAACAGTGAGCAGGATCTACCTTAATACATGTTGAGATGGTATATGGCATGTTACCTAGGGTATGTATTCCAGGTTTTCAAATTCAGAACAGACATTTTGGCAGGTGACACAGAAGGGTTTTTTCTTACTACCAATTTAAACTACCCTTTTACTAAATATTTAAAATTGTTGGGAAAGCTAGAAGTTCATTGCAAGGAAGAAACACATGAAATGCACAGCTGATACATGTTCACAAAGTATTTCTAAGTACCTTTTGCAGTATACCAGTCATCAATATTTATCTCATTAATGATAGTTCAATGTGTTAATGATATGCATAGGAATAGGATTGATAAATTATTTTAAAAGTTATGCAGTTTTTAGCAGGTACTTAATATTCAGTTCATTTTCAGGGATAGGTAAGTGCTAATTCCAGTGACTTCTAGTATTTCCAGTTAACCGTAGTGCCATTAATACAGTTATTGCTACTACATTTTGAAAATAATCTTTTTTGAATAATTATTATGCAAGATGTATTCTGTTTTTAGCTGCTGGACCTCTAGAATTTCTGGTAACAAATAGTTCCAAGAGGAGAAAGACGACTCTCGAGGAACTGATAAGAGCCTTTGTGTAGCTAACATGAAGCACTGTGTTGCAAGAAAATGCTTTTCTTCTTTCCATTAAACCACATTTCCATGAAACTTAAATTTAATGTCGTTTCAGAAACATCATTCATCTGCAAACACTAAATGCAGTGAGCAACACCTGTCTCATGTTAGCATAGTGTTAACAAACTGAATCCAGGCCAAATTCTGCTCTTAGCATTGCTGGTAAAAAATTTGAGTGATGTTATTTATTTCTGTGGAATTTCTCTAGATTTACATTGATAGATCATTTACTGATTTATTCTAAACAGGTGTAAACATGGTTCAGTGTTTTGCTGAATCAGGGCTCAGAGAATAATGCTGTTGGTGAATTGATCCCATTTAGGAATTTGCCAAATGTTACACTGTTGCATATACCTTCATTGCATCTGCCTGGTGTTTTCAGTAAAGACTGACTGTATGTGAAACCTACTTTTTATACAAAAACATTGTTTTAGTTTCTTGGCTTTTTTGTTTCTTGGCTTTTTTGTTTGTTTGTTTGCTTGTTCTTTTAAAGATGTGAATGAATCGTAAGTGTAGGAGCC